TTTTTCGGCGCGCGTTTCTGTGGGACTACATACGTAGTATATAAATTCACATAAGAATCATACAAGCATTAAGATCCAGCTAGACCGTGTAAAGGCTTAAATATATTTTGTCAATATTTATCTGATAGATGGGAGAAATCTTATCGTATTACTAATCGTTTTTTTAAAAATTATGATGATTGGTTAAATAATGTGATTCTTGTAACATCTACTCCTTTATTAGCATCAACTTCATCTTCTTCTATAACAGCTCGCAAACAATGGATTGAACTCTCTGATAGACAAAAAAGAAGACGAACAGAAGCTTTAAGACAAACAGAAAGTCATGAATTGCTGTTTGCTGCAAAGTCACAAACTTATGTAGAAAGAAATATTGATTTAGTTAAAATTTTAGACTTTTTAGAAAAAAATCTTACTTGTATTAAAAAAGTGAGTGAGTTTTGTGAAAATAGTTGCACACTTTCACCGAAACAAATGCAGAGACAAGGCCTTATCTATGTTTGTTTCTCTAAATTTATCAAAATCTAAATATATGTCATTGCAAGAAGTTTCTGCTGAAGAAGGCATAAATATTTACCCCTCTAATTATCAAATAAAACTTGCGATAATTATTTATATATATATATTATATATATATATATATAAATCTTGTATAAATACTATGATGTTTTGTATAAATACTATGTATAAATACTGTGATTAAATCTTGTATAAATACTATGATGTATAAATACTATGATTGATAATATATATATTATCAAATTAAATCTTGTGATAAATACTATGATGAACCACAAACTTTAAAATTTATTTATAAATGAGGTTTTGAAGGTGCATCCAATCAAAGTTTGTACAAATAAAGCTTTAGAAATAGTGGTTTTCAGGAAAATTCAAGCATTTTCATGACGAGTATTGTACCACTAAAATTATTTAATGACTCGACAGTTATTTGGCAAAACGAACAACCATCATCGACTCGCTACTGTCGGCCAATTAGATTTGAATTTACTAAAGAAACGGAAAAAGTGATAAATACTGAAAAAGATAGGATGCAAAACGAAATTGATAAATTAATACCAATGAAAATTCAAAACTTAACGATCGAGCATCAATTACTTTTCACCATAATTGATGGGAAAATTTGTTCAACTCTTTCTGATACATCATTTGCATTGAGCTATATTTGTGAAGCCTTCAGAAATGAAAGACTTAAAAAAAAAGTATCGAATAAAATTGTTATAGAAGTACATTTAAAATATGGATTGTCGAGTCTCCATATGCATGGATACGTTTTTTAGAATTTTTACTGCATCTAGCTTATAATCACGATTTTAAATAGTCAGCGCGAACATCTGAAGACAAAGCAAGTAAAATAGCAAGAAAAAGAAAAATAAAAGAACGATTACGAAGCGAATTGGGAATATTAGTAGTGTGACGTGACATTTTGTCCGTCACTGTGCGGACTTGTTGACGGCGGACTCGCGCTTCCTACCGGCTCGAAGGGCGAGCGCGCAGGCGAGTACGCACGCGAGCGCGCGTGCAAGCGCATCTGCGAACGTGCGTTAAAACTCGCGTCATTTATTCTACTCGGCGGATTTTCTTCTTTTGTAGTAGCATTTCTTTTGCGTAATGATCAAGCGTATCAGAAAGCGTAGACGCGCCACGGATCACGCTCGGCAGCTGCTATGAAATTTTATTGTATCACCGTGCCGTCTCGCCCGCCACCCTTGGAAGGAAGACCGAAGAAGGACAGGATTGGAAGGAAGGCCTAAGAAGAAGCTAAGAGAGAAGGACGCACATCCAGGAGTCTGGATAAGCAGGTTGTATTATTTTATATCATTGCTTGTAACCGCTGTCGCATGCGAACCATACTTTCACCATGCACCCCTTGCAGAGCACCGGAGGAGGCCAGAATTCCCGGCCACCCTTGAGGAGCCGGACGGACGTCCGTCGGGGACATAGGGCCTCGACGGGGAGCGAGAAGGAAATCCATCCCGATCTCCTCCGCCAGGCCAGGAAGTGCAGGGGCCGTGAGCAGAGACGCCACCCTTAACAGGGACCTTTACTGCGTGCTCGGATGAGCCAGGATTCAAGGTCGCGCGGGCCTGCACGGCACGCGCGGATATCGTGACACGCGGAAGCCAATCAGCGTGACTACCTCCCCCCGCAGGAGGGGGGGGAGAGCGCTAAGCAGCCTGCGAGAATCTGTCGGGAGCTCCCGGGCCTCACTCTCTTTCTGTGGACGAGCGAGCCGAGTCCTGTAAGGGAAGCGTGAAATCGCTGTCGCCGAGGCCGAGTACGAAGACGCAAAGGACCATCAAGAGATTGACTAGAGGGGGCCGGGAGGACAAAGGAGACGACGAGGGTGAGACGAGCGTCGACGCTTGTAAAGCTGCCGACCGGGGTACGTCGCCGGGTGGATCGCACGTAAGCCAGCTCGCATCGTAACGAGAGATCGGCGTAATGGCCGCCGTGTAGAGCCGCGAAACCGCGAGCCACGTGCTATCCTCCCGAGCCTTGGAAATCATTAGCTGTCGCGTTTCAAGAGTCAGAGTAAGGGGAATAATATTCATCGCCGAGTTGAAGTAACTTAGAGTCGTTCGGAGAGAATCGAAGGCCGAGTCGCGCTCGTTCCTCTCGCCACAGGGGAG